CTAAAGTAGCGTAGGTGGTAATGCATTTAAAAATTTACTTTACTACTTTAAAATAAGTTGGCCGACCCCAAGTAGTTGGGATTAAGGCGAGGAAAAAGAAGAAGAGTTTAAAATAAGTTATCATCGTAGTTGTGATAATAAAATCAATTAAAATGATTTTTTATTTTGTTTTTGTAATCAACAACAATCAAATTTCTATTTAAATATAAAAATATTTACTTTTAGTGTGGTTAATTTTTATTATTAAAAAGACAACCATGAAACTTAACCTAAACACTTAAAACTTACTCGACACCTTTTGAAATACTTATTTGAGTTGAAAATGATCTTATGATAAAATTTTTCAAATTATTCATTATGTTTTTTAGTAAAAAAATATTTAGTATGGTTATTCAAGTTTAAAAACGGGCATCTAAATATTTTTGTAAAATAAAACGTGAAACATTTATTTCATTAAGGGTCTATTTTTATTTTTATGAACATTGTAAGTGTTATTAGTTAAGTTTTTTGATTATTTTTTACTTAAAATTAAATTAAAAATTTGGAAGTTCTAATATTCATTTAACATTTATTTTTACCTATATTATTTTAATCATAAACACAGTTGTGTATCGAAATTGCCTATTTTAAGCGCCGTCTTGTGTTAAATTATTTAAAAGATACTGTTACATAAACAATTATTAGTATTTTTTACGATAAAAATTAAAATATAAAGTTTAGTAAAAGACATTTTATTGGTGAATTTAATCTAAACGTTAGTGTGTAGCTATATTCTAATGTCAAAGTAAATAGTTCATAAAATCTGTGTTGCATTTTAAGGAGTATGATACATTCAAATACAGGAAAAGTCATGAATCTCTTGTTGTCTAGTTCATTAAATCCTTTACTAATAATTCCCTCATTGATAATCAGAACTATTTTCGTAATACCCATATTCTTTGCCATGTAAATCTTATTTTCTTCTCCTTCATGAATGACTCTTTTCAAGATCATGCTCGAGTAAATGTGATTTACACCGACTTTCTGAAAGCTTACGACAAACCAAATTCAAATAACTAACTAATGTTGGTTTAAGTGCATCACTTCTATCTTAGTTAACTACCTACTTATCCAATAGAAAACAGTGAGTAAATTTGCAATTTCTGAAGTTATAAATCTATCCTCTGGAGTATCAAAAGGGTCAATTCCTTTTCTTTTCTTTTTTTAAATTTTGGCCAATAAGGCCAGTTTCGTAATAATACATGCGAAAATACTTCTTTTTGATAAGATTTAAAATTATTTATGCGAGTTTCCAAAAATTCAGATATCATCCTACTTCAAGTTTCTATCGATCGTCTCATTAATTGAGGTAAATCAATTGGTTTAACTTTTAATGTTTTTTATTTTATTATTGGGTTGGATAATTTTTATTATTATTATTATAATAATTTATTATATTCATAACTGTTCTATTTATTTCACATGTTTTATTTATATCGTTGACCATGGTTTTTGTCTCTCTATTACTTTGAATTTTAATTTTCATATTGAGAAAATATGTTGTAAGGTTCTTAAAAGCTTAAGATTTATCCAAAGAGTATCCAATGAGTTTCACTTTTTGAAACCATTGAATAGTCTTTATTGCTTTTTAGTTAGGCTTATATTTGAGAATTTTTGTAATATACTCGTCACTATCATAATATGGGATAACATCAAGCTACTCTGTTTGTGTCCATAATAATGGTCTTTTATTTAACTTTTTCGTATAATAATAACATGGTAAGAATGAGAAAATGATGATTTTTAGGGATATAAAATACTATGAAAGACAGAGCAATCCCTCGCAATCTAGTCTGTTTTAATCGCATACTCGACATCGTTATGTTAATATTTTGATTATCGGAATTCTTACGTGTTAAATTTGTGAATTAAAAATCAAATCTCTGTTATTTTATTTATCAATTATTATTAAATTATTTATAAAGTTTTGAATTACGATAATATGGTTCTATTTTATAGGATTATTATACTATAACGAATTGAAAAAATACATGCATTAAAGGTATTTTTTAAAGCAACGTAAATTTGTGAGTTTTGTTGCATATGTTATCAAAATTATTTATCATAGGATAGATGCTTAATTCCTATTGAAGGTATTAAGTTTTTAATATAGTAATTTGATAACTTTAAATAGTTTATTATTCTTTGAGAAATATTTGAATGAATTTGTGCATTATAATAAATATTTCTGTCTACAAATCAATAGATATATAAGCGTAGTTATGTGTCTATATATTTATTTATTAGCTTCGATGCGAAGCTGAGAAGGTATTGGTTTTACTAAGATGTGTTAATTTTTTTTTTTTTTTTTTGTGTCTGTTACCACTTTTTCTCAGCTCTCACCGAACCAATTTCTTTCAATGATACGTCAAAAGATCATAAATTGTATCTAGTCGAAGACATTACCCTCAAAAATTGAAAAAAATTCCCTCGTTCCCCGTAAATGGGGGAAACCTCCAAAAAAATTACAAATTTAAAAATCGCTAATTTTCGAAATTTTTTCAATTTTTTTTACTTAAAAGTGCCATAACTTTTTCAAAAATGAACATATCAATATAATTCTTTTTTATATAGATGTGTAATATCATTAACTTTCGTTTGGTATATTTTTTTCATAAATTTAACCCTTAACCTGCCCATAAGGGGGGATTTAAAATGACAAATTTTTCAAAAAAAATTAACTTTTTCAACTTTACTTTTGAAAATGTTCCGGAAGGTCTGACACTTTTAAATATATCTTAAATTAAAGCTAATGTAATATACTTTATTATGCAAAAAAAAAATTTCGGACTTTATTTTATCTTCATGGTGAAAACAGACATCAAAGTTTATAAAAAAAATACGATTTTTGTAAAAAAATTCATTTTTATATTTTTAACTTTATAATGCTATAACTTTTTGAAAGATGTATGGATCAATATAATTTTTTTTTTATAGATGCATGATGTCTTTACCTATCATTTGGTATATATTTTTTTTATATCTGACCCTTTACCTGCCCACAGGGGGGGATTTAAAATGACCACTTTTTCACAAAAAATTTACTTTTTCAACTTAAATTTTGAAAGTGTTCCGGAAAGTCTGACACTTTTATATATATCTTAAATTAAAGCTAATGTAATTTACTTTATTATGCGAAAAAAAAATTTCGGACTTTATTTTATCTTCACGGTGAAAATGGCTACCGAATGCTATTATTGTGTGAAAATTCTCGATTTTATTTTTTACATTTTTAACTTTATAATGCTATGACATATTGAAAAGTGTATGGATCAACATTATTTTTTTATGAGAAATAATATTTTTTAATAATCCCTTTTTCATTCTACATACTTTATCTTAATTAGGATATTAATAATGAACTAGCAGATCATGTAGCTTTTGGAATAGTCCACCAATTTTTTAAAATTAAACAGTATCTAAAGATTTGCATCGAAGCGTTTTTTTTTTGATAGTGATTTTAATCACTGTCAGATATCATTATACTTGATCCATCTATACCACGTCACCACTGTGCACGTCACCACTGTGCCGCGACCCCCCTGTGCTGGGTTTTTTTTAATTTCTGTTAATGAGTTCATAATAATTAATAATATTGCTGTGTGTATACACGCATATTCTAAATTTCTAAATTGTTAACTTAACGTTCATAAGTTGTTTAAGGCTAACACCAGTATTGTGAAAAAAAAATTAATGATACATTATACATCAGACTAATTCGTGCATTCATTCATATTGCGAATGATAATTTATCAATTACTTTATAATCGGTTATCAAGGATATATTTTTATTAGTAGACGAATAACTCAATGTTTTTGAAATTACATTATTTAACACTTTTCAATTTTTTAGTTTGCTATCTAATTCTATATATAGGTGTTCAGTAAGTAAGGACACGAGTTTCTATTGTTCTCATTGTTTGCAACAACTGACCTGTTTCTTTACTTACTGAACACTCACAGTACATGTATGACCTGTTTTGCACTCTTCTATTTCACGGACATAAGATACTACAGAGGATGGTGGCTTTCTTTCACATATTAAGGAGTTAAAGATGGTTTTCGGCTAGATTAATGATAGACAGGCGGATTTTAAAGACGGCTTGCACTAGAGATCAGACACTACCAATGAGAAAATCACAAAAAAAATCTCGTTGACACCGCCCTGGATATCGAACCCAGAACCCTGTGCGCCAAAACATACATTACTATCTACTAGGCCCGATGTTATTTTCTTCACTAATTCAATAATAATAATTTTGCTAATTGTATAAATAGTTAATGCATTTTAATGGGTATAAAAAGTCTTAAATAACAAAATTTAATTGAATAATTAGAACCTATTTAAATTTCCCATGTGACAATATCAATATGCTACATCCCAATTAAAACATAATTATAATTTGTATGTGTGATTGTTAGGTCTATGTGGATTATACGCTATAATTGGGCGATGTAATATTTTATAATACAATTACATTATTTTTTACAACTACTCTTGACTAAAATTTAAAGCTCACAATTTTTTTTATAATTTATCAAACGATAAGATACTTGATGCATGCAAAGTAATTTTTGTTATTACTTTACGTGTATATTTATGAATTTTTGTATTTGTGTTCAACTAAAATTGTATTAGCCAATGAAATAGGTATTTTACTTGAATGCAAATTCACTTGAAAATAAAGCAAAAAAACTTGCTTGCGAGTAAAAATATACAAAAATGGAAAACCATGAAATATAGTTGAGAGGGTAAAGTAATTTTATATCATGGAGGTTTATTTATGCAATAAATTAAAAATTATATAAATTTACGTAAGATTATACGTTATAACTCTTTCAAGTTATGTTAAAATAAAATTATATTTAATATTATAAAAAATTATAATATATTTTGAAATTTAAGGGCTAAGCTCACAAAATACAATTTCTTAGTGTACATTTAAATTTTAATTACTTACCTAAGTATTTGTTTTACTGTCATTGATTTGTTTGGAGTATGGGGCAACAGTATTTTCTGTGCACCCTAAAAAAGAAATTTAAAGAAAATAAATTGAGGGCCAATTAACTTTATTTTGTATTAGTTTTATAATTAACTGGCATTTAAGATTAAAATATAAAAATATTTTTCTTAAATTAAAGTAAACGTTTGACGTGAAAAATCTCCTATGTGCAAAAAATGAAATATCTATTACTAGAAAGAGTATATTTTTCTAGATCGATGAATATCAACATTTTTTTTATTTAGTGTTTTACACATAGTTGGTTTTTCATGCTCAGCGACGTATTATTAAATATTTTTATTTTCTTTAATTAATAAAAATAAATAATTATAAAATAATTTATTTTTAACTTATTCAAATATTTGAGTAATTTATTTGTTGTATTTTAAATAGATTTATATTGTATAAAGTGTTCAGAAAGTAATAAACAGGTTTCCATTGTTTTCATTTTTTGTAACAATTGATCTGTTTCCTTACTTAATGAACACCTTTAAATATTTTAAAATTAGAGTGTTAATTAAATAAGGACAAAGGTTTTTATTGATCCCATTGTTTGTAACAATTGACATATTTTTCGAGTTTTTAATCACCGTGTATAAGTAATTTACATTATTTATAGTCATTTAAAAAAATTACTTTTTTACTTATAAGTTTATTTTGACTTTTTTAATAAATTTAATAAAACACAAGTTATTCAAAGTTCATTAAAATTCTTAACAAACATATTTTTATTTGTGACAATTATTTTTTTTTTTGTTTCTATTTCTTAAATAAAAAAAAATTTTGAAACTTAAAAGTATTTAAATGTCTTATTTTTTTTATTTATAAAATAATAATATTTATGCTTGTTGTTTTAAATTATTCATATTTTTACTTCATTTTTAATAACTGTTAATATAAAACTAATAAAAAACAAAGATCGTTAAAAATGTTAAATAAATTGAAGTTTTCTTACCGTTTTTCTCCATAGAATTGCTCTATATTGTGGTACACACTGGTGATTGGTGTCAGTCAAAACTACGGATAAGAAAAACGGTATTTTGTCTGCGTCTGAACCAACGTAATTCTGATGCACTATAAAATATAAATTAAAAGTATAAACTAATTTACTTTCATGAAAAATTTATTGCTTTTATTTAGATAGCCAACTTACGTTTTCCGAGAAAATATTTGAAATACCATCTAGTTTGGAACTCAGGATTTTCTAACACTGGTGTACACGGAGATCCAAAAATCTAAACAATCATTAGCTTTTTTTGTAATAATTGATATATATTTTCAACAAAAACTAAAATTATTACAAATATATTCACTAGATGATAACCAAGTAAATATTGTAGTATGTTACAAAGAAAAGTTCCTATTATATTTATTTTATCAATTTTTTTATAACATAAAATCATAAATTCGTGAATTTAATTTTGGGAAATTAATTAAAAATCATTCTTAAGGTAAAATTTAAGAAAATTTTATCAAGCTAATATAATCATATTACTCTATCCAAAAAATTTTGTTCGTACTAAGAGAATTAAAGAGATTCCGATTTAATCCAATTAAATCATAGAGCCACTGACTTTTTTCGGTGCGTCCCTGGAGAATTTGTATTTATAGAATACTGTAGGAAGTGGCGTGGGCAAAATGAGGTAATTTTTTTTTTTTTTTGAGTTAGTTAATACTGTTTGAAGGTGTTTTTGTTATCAAATTCTTTCGTTTGATATTTTAAAATATACAGAATTGAATCAAGTAAGTGTCACACAAAGATTAAAAATTTAATTCAATTAAAATGTATTTCTCATATACTGGGAAATTGATAATATATTTTTATATTATCAATTATAAACAATGACCTTGTAATTAGTATAGTATGAATCGTACTATTGTACAGTTGATGTTATATTTTGTTATCGTCATTGTAACTAAGCTTGAACAGAGTTACTCAAATTTTAAATAAATTTCAATGCTGTGAATTGAAACAAATTTTTAGTACTCAAGGAAACGTTTTTGTTTTATCTTTTAAATTTAAAATGTTAATTTAATTAGGAATCGTACTTAAAAATAGTACGAGTTGACTTAATTTAATGACAAGGTCAACGCTAACGATTTCTACAAATTATCGTGAAATCATGTTAACAAAGCGCCAGTATTACTAAACTTTATGGATGAGAATAAATTTAAATGATATTATAAGTTATGTCACTGCGTAATCAGATACGCTGAATCGCTTAAAATATTATACATTGTAATTATTTTTCGAATAAAATTAATTTGTGATACATATGTATAGCTTATATAAAATAACTCATACTAGAGAAAAATATTTTTCTTAAAAAAATAGCAAATAACCGTAATTAATTTTCATTAACTAATATTTTATTGTCAATGTAAACGAACACATGTGTTATTGTAAATTACACATCTGTTTATTCGTTTATCTTTCGATTTTCGTTTGTCATTAGAAATTTAATTTTTAAACACTATTGTTACAATTAATTCTGTTTAATTTCATCACATTGTCATATTGTAAATGTAATTTATGTAATGAATAATGAATTTCTGAGCGTGATTAACGACTTAACATTGAATTAGGTGTAAAAAAATTATGGTTTAAAGCTGTAAAATTCAAAGAAAAACTTACAAATACTTTTTGTTTACAAAATTAACACCAAATATGAAAATTCTGTTAAATGTTTATGTATAATTAATATTAATAATATATAATATTAAAATATTTCCAACTTCACACGAGAGCAATGTATTCATACAAGACTTGAGGATTTTGTTTATAAACAAAATGCACCAAATCCAACAAAAAAATTAATTTTTCAGAAAAAAAAAACAAAAATATTATTTATTTTATATATGTTTCAGATAAGAGTATAAAAAACAACAGTGAAATATAGTAAGTGGTAAAATAGAGACGTCTACATATAACCACAACGAACGCACTTATTTTCAGTCGTTTTTATCTAATTATAATTAATATAAATTAATCACAATTAGAATTCAGTAATATTTTTTAAACTAAAATAATAGTTTGTTACTTAAGATAGTCAACAAAAAAAAGAATAAAAATTGGTAAAAAACATTTTATTAATGAAGTGATAAGACGCAATTTTATCTACTATCATTAAAAAATAACAAGTTAATTGGCACTTGATTACAAAACTTAAATTATACAATATAATGTAATAAATGATACCTTAGAATTGTATTTTCTTAATCAAAGAATCAATTTAAATAAAAAATATCGAGAAGTCTACGTTTTCCCCGAACCCCGTTTCTCCGCAAATATAACATTATTTTACATAATAATTATATGATTTTTTGCATATATGTATTGCCGTCTTATTAAAATTATTTTTTCTGTATGTTGATTAAACAATAAAATATCATACAGTATGGTAGGTGGTACGTTAATTCAATTTGAATTATTTATTCTTAAATGAAAATTTAAATATATCTACAAATATGTATAATAAAAAACTTTGGATTTCTTACTTCTTCTTTTTCACCGAGAGAATCGCCTGTTTCAATTCGAAATCTCCTTCCACTAGGGTCTTGACCGGAAGCCTCTAGTTGTGGTAACTGTAATAATACAAGTAACTTTTTATTTCTTATATAATATATGTATAAATACGTGTTAGTTTATTATTATTAAATTTGTTTTACGTCAATACATAATTATTTATGTAGCTATAAAAATACTAAAAATGCTTGGTAAATCTTTTTAAAATTTTAATTTTATAAAATAGTGGGTTAATATTTTTTTAAATGACAAACTGTTATGAATTCATTAGTTATTATTTTAATCGATTTCTATCAAATGATCATTTTACGAATTTATATGTATTCTCGTTTGAGTTTCTACTATTATATTCAATGATTACCAAGTAACTTGTAGATTTTTATTAAAAGTAAATTTCATTTTTAAGTAAATAATATATCAAAAGGAAATGTAATATATTAAATTATATCGGAATTGATGAAATAAAAACATGAATTTAATGTACATATGTTCAATTTTATTTATTCTTTAATGTTTAAAAGAAATGAGTAAAAATCGTAAAATGATATTTTTAAAAATTAATTTCTGTCGGTTATATTATGTTTATTTTCAACTTAACGTATACTTTTTAATAAAAAAAATATAAAAATGTAGATATTTGATTACTTAACAATTCGTATACATAACACAATAAACTACAATATGTACGAATAAATATAAGTAAAATTTACATCTCAGGAATAAGATTGAATGTATTATATTCAAAGTTTTTACCGAAAATACAAAGGGTTTTTTTATTAATAATACGAATGGTAGTTGTATATATTATTTTGGTTTCTGGTAAAAATAACCGAATTGTAGTTATTTTTAGCTATTGAATAGTAAAATCAGTAAATGAATATTTTAAGAACTAATCATTTACTATTAGCTCTTATTTTTATTGAATCGTGCTATACGATTAAAAATAATTTTAAACTTATTGAATTTATTAATATAGTTTATTTTTCATAGTTGAAACTCTAAAGTTAGTTTTATAATACTTAAAATTTCATCTGGTGTATCAAAATTTTTTATCTATTTTATCACTTCTTAAAATAATGTCAATTCAATTAAGTGGTGATGCGTTGTTTATATTAACCAAATGATACACTTTTCATTACTTAACAGTAGTCTAATATAAGAATGGATGAATTATGTGAATAAACATTAATGTTTTTAATTTAACTAGAATATATTTCATTGTATATCATTTTATGTAATGAATACTTGATATTGTAATTTAAATTAATGTCATATTTTTAATTTAATTTCATTGTATTTTTTTAGACATTAATTTTGCAAGTCATGTATAAAAAAATAAATAAATCACAGTCAATTTTTTTTCATGAAAATTAGCAATTTGTGTAAATATGAGATGCTATTTATATTTGTTACAAAAATAAAAAAGAACATATTTTAACAACTGGCATCTTAAATTTAAGGATTTATTTATCAACATTATATATTTATATATATATATAAATGTATACACTGAGAATAATAATAAAATGCATTAGTTATAATACTAGATTCCAAGGATTTATATATGCTTGAAAAATTGATGATTTTGCAATGTGAATTTCTGTCTTCGAAGTCATCGAAATTAAATTAAGCTCCTAACAAATTTTAGTGTCTCGTACAAAACTTTAAAATTGTTTAATTTAAAAATAAAATAAAAATTACAGATAATTTAAAGGTATAAAATTTATTAATTACCAATATTTAGGTTCTTAAGAATATTGTGTTTTTAAGAACGGTAGACAGAAAGACTTGAATCCGACATTAAAATAATACAATATTATTATTAGTGGTTATAAATAGATCATGTGTAGTCCATAAACTCTGATACTAAAGTTAATTATTAGACAATTTTCAATTTCAGTGAAAATTCGATTGTATGTATATTTGTATTAGTATTCGTAATTTTTAGATTATATATTTTATATTATTTACTTTGAAACTAGATAACCATCATAACCATTTTGTATTTAATATACCAATATAATTTAAGTTAATAAATATAATTAGATTATTAAATTCGATGAGTTTTTAGAAATATTTTAGTTTTAGTGAAAACAATTTTTTTCCACAATATCTGTATTATTTCCTGGATTTTTATAATAAAAACAAAGTTCTTAATTTAAAATATTTTTTTCAATTTTTATAAAAAAAATCATCTTTTTCACTGTTTATTTTGGAAAACCCATTTTATTTGGAAATTTTGATCTCTAATATTTTCATTATTTGATGTACTCTTTTCAAGAGTGCTTAAAGTTTTCGATAAATTGGCACATGACTTTAATAGTATGGAATATATCATAATATAACTCCGTGATTCGTGTCAGATAAACATCAATAAACGCCCACATTTAAATTCTGTTTTATAGCAATATTTTTAGTTAGTTAGTTGCTTTTAAAACATATTAGTATAATCATTCAATAGATTTAAATATTTGTCGGAGAAAATTTAACAATTTTTTGCATTAATTAAACAGCTAAATATAGTAAATAATTTTTTCATTAGATTTGTATTTTTTTTAATGCATTTAACTATCGATTCAATGTGTTATTTGGTTTATTATATCAAACTATGTCACACGATTTGAGTTAATATTTCTTCATGTAATATGTATGTATAGTAAATAACTATTAAATAAAAATACTTTTGTGGTAGGATTAGTAAAAAACAAAATTATGTATATGAAAAACCGAGTAGATAATTGATGAGATAATTCAGATGTTATATTTCATATTTTCTTTATTTATTTTTATTCATTAAAACAAAACAACTTGACAGTGTTTCAAGTCTGGGTTAAATTAATTAGATGCAATGACAAATTTAAGGCATTTGTGTGTCCCAGATTTCGGGAACTGAATCGTTGTTATATTATTTGGATGACCTTTTTTTGGCTAACACATACATTATTTTGCCAAAATTCGCTATAAAAAATAACTATAAAAACAACTTTTAAACTTAATTACAGACTTTAGTACAAAAATTATAAAAATGAAAAATATGGAATATTGGACCTTAACTTCGTAGGAAAAGCTTTATTTCGTTAATTACAATCAGAGTTTGAAATTTAAAGAATTATGTCAAATACAAATCATAAACTCTAGTAAAAAACCTGAGCTGCAGAAAGCTTCTCATTTGTGTAAAAACTAGCAATATATGACATATTAAAAATTATATATCTTGTGAGTAGTTTACATAATATTAAATTAAGATTAACTGTGTTATTATTTTTGTCTTAAATGTTTATTTCATGAAGTATACATTAAAGGGATTATTTCTAACTTAATTAAATTATTTTGACAATTTAACGTTTTCTCATTTCCATGTAACTACGATACTAACAATTATTTTGTTAATTTAAACTATATTTATCTCCGAGCTCGTTTATGATGCGAATTAAACAATCACTTTTACTACAGTAGAACCAAAATATAATTTATTTTAATAAATTTTGAGGTATTATAAAATCAAACGTTGATAGATATCATTCTAATGATACAATTATATTTAATTAATGTATACATACTACAATATATCATTACTACGTATAAGTAGTATGTAAATTAAACATTTATAATATGTATAAATAATCTGTTATAAAAACAATAATTGTATATTAGATAATTAATGGATTCAATTGTATTAGTTCTATCCAATGTTAATAGGATTTTTAGCTAAAATGATTAGGAGTTATTAACTCATTTTTACTAATGCATTAATTGCATTAAAAAAATTAAACGTGTTTCTGGAATAAAAACAAAATTGTATTCGTGTTCTTAACAATAGCAACAAATTATTGTATAAATTGTTAACGAAAAAATATACTTCTTATAAAAATATTTGAAGAAGTTACATAGGTATTTCATTTTAGTTGATTCCATTTTCTTAACCATCATAGTTCCTTCCTACGCATTTTCCTTGTCCGTGATCAATTTTTCTTTTATATACTGTCTTATTATTCTCTCAACACATACGTCATTACGCTTCACATATTTTTTCATGACTTTTCACAAAAGTTTTATCTTAAGACTTTATAAACGTCCGAGGCAGTAATCGATTTTAAGCTATCCATAAGATATTAATGATATTTGTTGTAACAATCAATTCAATTTTTATTTTATCATTGAATTTCGTTATTTTTATAGTTTTTTATTAGTTACGTTCAATTTTATTATAAAAATATGTATCAAATTATAGAGAATATTTTAAATTTTAATCATTTAAAATTATTTATTTCTATTAGAAAGTCATTTAAAAAGTGACATTTTTCTAATTTTGTAGGATATCTAAAAGTTCTTAATATGCATTTTACCAAGGAAATGAATTTGCATGAGAAAACATTTCTCTATTACCGTTAAATAAATCACATTATATTTTCAATAATTTTACACTTAGTATAGGATTTCAACATGCTATTTTTTACATAATAACATCAGTAAAGAAATCATTTTTCTATGAAAATCATTGGTAACTCTTTTGTATAATTCAAATTTTAGATGAAAATATATTTCTTTTGTTTCAACTTTTTTACTTTTGTTAATTTAAAATTTTGATTTATAATTGTTTCTTCAGTTTTTTTTAATAATGTATAGTACAAAATACACTATATAAAGTGTAGTATAGTAAGGCGTTTTGTGTATTTGTATATTTACAGTTCTTGAAACAGGGAAATCGCGTGATTCTTGTATTTAAACGTTTTAAGGCAATTACATTGATAGTATTTCTTCCATATTGTGTTAAAAGTTTCTTAAGAACTATTTATACTTTATTCGGTCATACAAAAGATATTATCATTGGATAGTTTAAATTACTGCTGTGGTACGAATTAAATTATTTATTTTTGCATTTCTGTGATTATATTATAATAGGATAAGTATTAGTCTCTAGTTGAAAAACGAGTTTTTTTTAATAGTGGTAACTTTGACGTGTCGACAGCAAAGAAAATGTATGCTTTCATAAATTTTCGGTGTTAAAAAGCCAAGAATCAACGTCAACCGTTGACTAAGAGGTTTGAGACAGCTAGGATTAATCATGGGAACAAATGCAAATTTTTTATTGTCTAAAGTGACGCGATCGAGTAAATGATGAGATTGGGATACAGACTAATAGTGTGGAAATTTGAGACATTGTTGTAAAAAGAACGGAAACTTTTGCGCACCATTGCAACAATGAAAAAGAAAATTAAAGAGTGTAAGGTATGCAAAAAAAGACACTTCTTAAATTCGATATACGATGCTTTATCAGCAATTCTATTTGACCTTATTTTCAAAAACATCTTGTCAACTACTACTTATAAAATGTTTCACATTATTCTTGAGTGTCTTTAATTAATCAGTTGTTTTTAAATATTACTAAAGTTTTGAAAATATTTAAAAAATTAAATAGATCTTCACATTTTTGTTTTGTTATTTTTATAATTTTGTTTGATAAAGATATAACTATAATATGATTAAAAACCAAGTTAAATTAAGTGTCCTAAAATATTATTATACCATATATGTCGAACATTTATCTTAACAAGCAATCATTTTGAAGTAAATTAATTTTTATTAATTTATTTAAAAAACAATAAGTTTAAAAATTTTCATTTTAATATTTATAAACTCCAATAATATTGATCAAGTATTAATAAATGAGTCATGTGCGTGTTAACTTCCATTTTATAAAATATTATTTTTTTGTAAAGTAATAAATTATTTGTGAAAAGAGGAGGCTTGTTTGAGTTGTTATTAATTACGTAATACATGATGTGCTAATGTTAGATGATATTATATGTTAATAAAAATGGTTGAATTGAAACGGAAAGTGCAAAAAAACTAATCCTTTCTTTTAATTTTTATTATTCCTCTTCAAGTTTTAGATGCCTTTAGAGTTGGAGATTAAATTTTATTATAAAATATATTCTTTCTTTAAAATTATTCGTAAAATTATTTTACTATTTATTTGTAAATAAAACAACGTGACTTTTTTATTATTAGTGAAAGTTTTAATTTTAGGATGATAACTAAACAAATATATATTTTTTTATTTATATAAAATTTATCTGATTCAAGTCATCAAAATATATTGATGGTTGAACAAATAGATGTATATCTACCAAATATTTATCAATTTAAACTTATATTTCATGTTTCTACTAGAAATGTAAAATTGGTCACAAAGGTAAGGTTTATTGTGTAAGTAAAGGGAAAAATCTGAAAATTGCTATTTTTTAAAAATTAACTTTCGTACAAGCTTGAGCGTTATTTAAGAACGGGCAGCCACCCGTCTGATTTTTAGTACTTTATGAAAATGATATATTTTGGTGTCTTAAGCCTAGTTCCAATCTCTTCCCTCACAAGAAAAGTCTGCCTATCAATGTAATAAGAATATGTTCTTATTGCTTAACACTTGGCCAGTTTCTGGCCTAGTACTGATTTAGTACTCATTTAAGAAATACGTGGGAGATGAGAAGGAGAGATCTAGAAGAGAATAAAAAAAGTTTAGGGTTAAAAATCATTTCACGGGATTCATTAAGAATTATGTTAAAATTTGTTTTATGCCTCATTTAAAAACTGCCCAAGTATTATGCATTACGAATAAAGGAGCAATGTGTCTTATGCAAGTAGGATTTAAGTTTATGAACTAAAAATAGAGCAAACTTGACCACAAAGTAGATATTACTACACTTTAATAGGCTGATTTTTTCGATGAGGAAGAGATTGTAACTTGGCCCTTTTTTATAGTTAGGTTTTTGTTTTTGTTTATATATTTTTAGAATGTCTAGTGAATATTAGTGTTCTCTTTGAATTGTTTATCCTTTTTAAATTTAATTATGAGTTGATAAATTGACTTAAACTTATAAATTTCTTTTAGTTTAACATCTAACAGTTAACGAAATTATTTATTGAAAACAGATTTTTAAATAAATTTATCGTTATTTAAATAATAAAAGTGTTGGTTTTTTTTTAATAAAATCTAATTGATGGAAGTTTTAGCCTAAATTCCTGAAAATATTTATACTCCATTTTAATCATTTCAAAATACCTTTAAAACATTTTATGAGCTTTATTTTATTATCGACATGTCATTACCTAAAGTCGTTAAATCTGTTATATACCTATATATTTAGATGATTTTTATATAACAACCTAAGAATTTATAATAATATTATGTATAAACATTGGACATACTTTGCACAAATAGGAAGGTACCTTTTATATTATAATAAATTCTGAGTTTACTGAACGTAATCGGGTTATGTCAAATCAGGATATAAATATGGATGATGGTATAGTTTGCTTTTGAATAATAAGTTTTTTTTTTGTGATTACTCAGAATAATATAAAGAGTCAACATCATGAATGAGCACTGAGTCTCTGTGTAAATATTTTGTCCAAAACTTAACTCGAAAATGGTCGACAACTACATTTATATTATTAAAAAATATTAAAAAAAAATAGAAACATTCGTATTTATGAATATGAAACAATTTAATGATGTTTACACAGATGAAAAATAACAAAAATAAGCTAATTGCAAGTTCATAAATATGAAGTATTTATATGTTGTTTAAAAATATCTTTGTCTGTCCTGTTTTTTTTTTACATTCCTGACATGTGTAGTTTTTACTGAAAGATATTAATATGATTTTGTTACAGTAGCATAGTATTTAATAATAATACAATACTATTATTTATGTTGAAATTGTTTTTGAAAATACTATTATCATAGAAATATTTAGTTTTTCGTAAAACTTGAATGTGCAATTTTTGTTAAAATAACTATTCATTAATAATGTGTTTTTATTTGCTAATAGATATAAATACAATGCTATGTGCTAAGTCATTGATGCTATGTTATTTGAAGGTTTATCGAAAGGTCTATTGGCTATTTAACCCGACCAAATGCTATGACCGTTCAGATATGAATCAGTTTGCATTATGTAACTTCTAAGATTTACATTTCCAGAAAACCATTAATCTTCGAGGTCTCATGGGTACCAAAAATAACTACTCAAACAGTTAAGGATAAACTCACCAATAGTATTCTTTGCTATAGCTCTCCTCTTATTATAGAATGGGCGAGGGGAAATACCATTTCCGTGTAAAATGTACGTTTTTATCTTATACAGCTAAACTACCAAAAGTTCTCCTCTAGGCGGAAGCCAAAATATCTAAATGGAATTGTGCCAAGTTAAACGCATCATCAGTATTTACACATACGATTTGTCAAACAACTCGCAATTTATAATCAATACTGTTAATGTGTTTTAAACAATTAAGTATTAAACGATTGGAATTTCTAATACATAGAAATCCAATTAGTAACTCGTACTATATAATTAAAAGATCCACAATTGTTCAAAATTGGATCTTTGTAACGGAAGAATAGAATTAAAGTTTAGACCAAATGAATTATTTTTGTTCGTTAATTTTCATTTTACGCAGTTCTTCATACAAAGATAAAAAGTTTAAGGTTTTTAGTTTAAAAAGCCAATGCAATAATATATTAGTTTCAACTAAAAAAATTTGGAAAAATCTTTAAAAATTGTTTGGAATATCGTTTTTATAATTATAAAAAAACAAACTGAAAGGATTATAGACATTTGATAATAATAGCGCCTGTAGTTTAGAAAAGCGATTACTAAATCAAAATGGGATTAAATGAATTTAACTTCTGTATAAGAGTTAAGACGAATCTGAGTTGCCATTGAGCGGGTGTAAGCTTGAATAGGTATAAGAAGTCTTTAATGGAAATCTCCGGGTGGTTACAACGAAACGCTTCTGTGTAAACACGCACAGCTAAGCACATGTAAGTTTACCACTGTTTTGAAACGAATTAAAATTGCTATTCCCTTGCCACGTACATATCTCTCTATAGAACCACAGTGGTTTTTCGTCGTCAGAGTTTTGGACAAATATGTAAGGGGGATAATAACATCACTGGAGAAACGCGCTATATACACACAATTCAAAAATCTTCAATTGAGTTTGTACCTACAAACAAAATAACTTCATCATTTCTTACTCACAATTCAAACACAAACATCTCTTATCGTAAAACGTTAATAGGATATGTATACATTGTGGTTGATGGTGAAATTGGATTTTAAAAATACTTTAATCATTTTTTAAGTTCAACATTCTGTTCTATAATTTTTGAACTGTAATCGAATTTCAGATGGCTTTTTTTAACTCGAACAACTTTTTTAAATGAGATATTTTTTATTTTATTTATAATTTGTCGAGCAAAAATATTCTTTAGGTATACTAACCAATTCTACTGAACCATAATGACGCCGACTGAATACACCTCGTCGAGATATGAGATCATTACTTGAGGATCTGAAAAAAAACATCAAGATATGTATTAAATTACATAAATATTTAAAAACACCATTTAATCAGTTTTTTGAAGTAAATAAATTATAAGAAATTAATCACATACGAAGTTATTCATTTTTTAATTTTTTAAATTGTAAAAGTAATTATTTAAATATAAAAAGTATTTTTTGAAGTATACAAATTTTTAGTTGCTTTGGTGCAATTCTAAATAAAATTAGCTGTTATCATAAGACCGTAATCGCAAAGAAGCATGTTATATTTTAATAATAAAAAAAAGTTCAGAATTCATATGATTTATATTATCTATTACTAGTTTACTTAGTGGCGTAACTATAAAATAATTTCAAGTTAATTACTTATTTTTTTGTTCGTTAATAATTTTTACTCTTGATCACTATTTAAAAAAACTGTAATAATTAAAAAAATAAAAGTTATTACGACTAAAAAATTCAAATTTTGCAATTCGGGGTACTAGGGGATTACAACCCTAATCTCTTCTCATCGATTACGCCACTGATATTTATAACATTGAAATTAAGAAAAATAATTAATTAATTTCAAGAAATTTTTAGGAACAAAAATGTGAAAATTAACTATATTCAATATCTTCTTTAAACAATTATGAAGTGTAATTAAATATTTTAAATATATGTAAGTTATTTTTGCATTTGTATTATGTTTGTGGATATGAATAACGCAGTGTGAACACTGGATAAACAAAAGTTTGTTTACAAAGTCTAACATAATACATATGCGTTAGCAGTATGAGTTTTGTTCAGTGTTAACATATGGATTTATTTTCTGCCTTACATATTTGTGAATAGAGAATAGAACACACTATGGGTCTTTTAATAAAATTATTAGGAATAGAAACATGTATTATACAGAATTATGTACCCTTGCGGCGTTAATCATGAATCGATCATGTTGACCCACATTAGGCACAATAACATTTTTTTAAATTAAGAAGTCATATTAATTAAAATCATTAGCTAACCAATGTACTATCATAAGTTGAGGTTGTGCTTTTGATCAATCAAAATCAATAAAAAATGTATATTTTTAGTAAGTTATTACGTTAGTAATTATTATTTACGTAATAATATAAAGTCTAAGAAATTCAAATTTTAACAATTTAGTATTGACGGTTAAGCTAATTGGCATACTTATTTTTGTCAATCACTCTTAGAGTTCTATCATAACATTTATTTATTTTTAATTAAAACATTACAACCGAACAAAACGAGGATACTTCCTTTTTATTTTTACTTGTTTGAATAATTTTTCTTTAAGAAAACGCAAGGAACAAAAGTTTGTTACTCAGTATTGTAGAACCATTTATTACAAAAGTTTTGTTTCTCAATATACACATTTAACGAACACAGTGTTATCCAGTTTATTAAAGTGTAATAAATTATTTTTTTACCATTTTGTTCAAGTACTTGAGAAAATCATTAAGAAAAAAATGAATCAGTGAATAAATAAAAGTATGGTGGCTCCATAAAGTATAGGTATAAATATTTTTATGACTTCAATATCAAATTAATCTAATTAAATAACAAATTAAAAATCTCAATATTTCATACTAAAAACTGGAAAACTGTTTATGTAATGTACATATTACACTTATAATTTATTGTTTGGTAATATCAAGCAGTGTCAACATTACGTGTTTTTTCTGTTAGTCAGTAGTAATAACTACAAAATTATTATCATTGATACAACCAATATATTAATTATTCTAGTTCATTTTTGTTGAAACAACACTTTTTAGCTTTGATGCTAAGATAAGAAGATATTGATTTTACCTTGGTGAGTTTTGTCTGTACATAAAAATTCTCTTTCACTAGACCTATTTTAAAGACTAATGCGTAAAAAAAACCCGGTTATCTAATTGAACCTATCGTTACTAAAAATTGGAAAAAAAACCCTCAATTTTAGAAATTAATAAAAATATTCCAAAATTACGATATTATAAAAAATGGAAAATACCTTTTTTTGAATATAAAAACTTCTATAACTCTTTTTCTTTAATATCGTACCAAATATTTTAATACACTATAAAAAAGACAATGAACTTTCTTTAGAATACTTTTTGTGAAAATTCAATGAAAAAACTATGTACAGGAAGGATTTGATATAGAACACCCACACAAGTAAATTTGTTTTTTCTTCTCCACGGTAAGAGTATTAAATGTGTTTCGTGTACTCCGTGTTCCTGTAGGATAGAAATTTATTGATTAGTAAATGAGTAAAGGCTAAACGATTTTGGAAAATTCCAATACATATTGTGTGATGAAACAAATGATTTAAAAAGCCTTCAATGCATGAGTGAAATTTTAAAACAAAGCAATTGTAAAATTATAGATGTACAAATAATTGAAAACTGCTTAATTGAAAAGCATCAAGTCTTTACAACAATTTATACATAAAGTCATATTTAATGTTCGGAGTTGAAATAAAAATTTAACTCTGAAGCATAGAAAAATAATAATAAAAGTAATAATAGTGTAATTTAAAAAGATTTATTTATGAAAAAAGGTATTAGTATCATTTTATACAGTACCGAAAGTAAAATGTGTACTAGTCCCAAAAACAATTAGAACTTACAACTACAATATTTACAATAAATTAGAAAGTTAGAATTCGGGTCAGATTTTAAAATAGTTATATAAATATTTGATTTAAATTAAAAAAAAGTCCATGTTAAATCCTACGTGAGTATTACACCGTATTATACATAAAAATACAAAAAAAACTATAAAAAACCCAGCACAGGGGGGTCGCGGCACAGTGGTGACGTGACATAGTTGGATCAAGTATAATGATATCTGATAGTGATTAAAATCACTATCAAAAATAAACGCTTCGATGCAAATCTTTAGATAGTGTTTAATTTTAAAAAAATTGGTGTTTTATTCCAAAAGCTACTTGATCTGCTGGTTCCTTATTAATATCTCGATTAAGATAAAGTATGTCGAATGAAAAAGGGTTTATTAAAAAATATTATTTCTCATAAAAAAA